CCAAAGATAGTGTTTGTAGGACTCTACGAATAAAGAACTCAAAAAGCTTGGCACAGATTCTAGTAAATTTTATACATGAAGCAACACTATAGGGGTGAAGTGACAAAGTCATAAGAACAATCCAAGTTCCCTGCTTTGACGTGGCTTCTGTCTTCTAGCAGTGTGTCCTTGGAGAGTTGGGCCCCCATCTGGGATGGACTAGAATAATGATCTATCACCACATTGGTGGTGGTCCTACCCAGGTTTGCTATGGGGATTCCTTTAGCATAGGCAGAGTCACAGGATTCCATGGGATCATTCTCTCAGCTACGCTATCCCTATATTTATTTATTTTTTAAAAGATGTATCTTTATTTATTTATGCATACAAGAACTGGGGTATAGGCCAGAGGTTTGAGAGGGGTGGTAAAAGGATTCACCAGAGACAGAATGGGGAGCAGAGCAGGAAGACTGACCAAAATACACTGCTTAGGGGAGCAGCAGGAGAGACAGGAGAGGTCTGCTGTGTCATGTGGGTCAGCTTCTAGATTGGGGATCAAACTCGTGCTGCGGTGGCTGCACTGAGATTTAACTTATTGCTCCTATATATATATATATATATATATATATTAGATTTATTTATTTATTCGTACAGAACTGGGGTACAGGCCAGAGATGCGGAGAGTGAGAGGATTCACCAGAGACAGAGTGGGGAGCAGAACAGGCAGATCGACAAGGTACACTGCTGAGGGGAGCAGCGGGCGGGTCAGGAAAGGTCTACCTCGCCTTGTGGATCTCCTCCGGGGCAGGCGGGGAATCGAACTTATGCGGAGGTGGCTTAGGCTTCTTTGTGCTGTGCTTTAACCCGCTGCGCCACCAGGGAGGGCCTTATTACTCCTATATTTAATGTCAAGTTTAAGTTAAGTATTAAGGACAATACGTTTCTAAACAAATTAGAAACTTTCCCCCCAAAGTTCCTTGAATCTATTTGTATTAAAAACACAGTATATTTTTGGGTAAGTAAAACACTTAACGTAAATATTACCAGATAACACAGAGATGATACATACTTCTTGATTATTAAAATGCATTTCTGAGTTGTCTTCTCCCACTCAATTGATCCATTCAACAATATCTCTGGGCAGCTAATATATGTATTGTAGGGCCATACACATGTTTGGGAATGACAAAAAGACCAATTAATTAGTATGTCTGTGCACATAGCTGTAATGAGAGGAAAGTATGTCTGTGATAAAGCGGAACGAGAAGGGCAAGGAGGATCGCAGAAAAGACAGCCTGTGGGGTAGGCTGGGAAAAGCAACATAGGAAAGAGAGACATTTTTGCAGATGGCACACCTGAGCACATGCAGGGGCATTTTGCACAACCAGGTAAGGATGAGCTGACCATAGTGACTGGCATCCAAGTTTACCTGGATGACAGGAGAAGGTAGAAGCACAGGTCAAGGGTGGGAACCTAAGTCAGACGCGGAATTTGAGTTGGCTTAGGGAGGATGGGATGGGGGTGGGGGGGAGTGCTGACAATCTGTAAGCAAGGAAGGCCAAAATTCAGGGCACACAGGCAACAGAAAGGAGAAACCAAAGGCAGCTGCAGCAGTCATTAGGGAAGGATCACATGGGTGGACTATTTCTAGAACTAAAATGGTGACAGTGGGAATGGAGAAGAAAGAATGGATGTGATAGCTAAGTGATCTTTAAGTATGTCTGATTGACAGAGAAGTGGAATAATCCCTCCATTACTTAGAGCCGCTCGAAGCCTCGTAAGTATTGCCCATTGTCATTTGAGAACACGCAGTACTTAAGGAGGTATAATTTAACACTTGCCGTGGCCAAGGAAGGGGGTCTTTAGGCCTTGCATAACTCTATCCATCTCGAAAGCATACCTTTCCATCAGAAGAGAATAAAAGTGACATCTGTGTCCTAACCTATCCTCATCGGGAACTACCCGCTGTGAAAACTGCTTACACAAGAGGAGAAAAAAGGTCAAATTAGAGAGTTATCACTTATTACATTTCATACTGCATTCATGTGGAACAATGGACACTTTGCCAAGCACTGTTCTTACTCATTTTCTCATTCCCAATAAAGCAGCCCTTGAGGTATTAAGGGTGGGAATTATGGACCCCATGTGGCTGCTGATGATGGCCACACGACAGTGACCAGGACCAGCATCTCCCAACTCCTGGGACAGGGTGTTTGCCACCCACCTTGAAGCACCAACCTTCCACAGTCATCATCCAATGCAAGCGGCCTGGGCTTTATGGGATTTAAATAGATGCCAGTTGGCCAGGAGAGGGGTGTGGTGAAAATCTAGCCAAGGGGCAGATAAAGGCTGCCCAGAAAGTGTCCTTCACTGAAGGGAACACAACCCAGAGACCAGCTGGGAATTCCATCACTGCCTTGGGTTTAGAAATTGTTTATTTTTATTTCTTGGCTCCAACCTTTCATTCCTGCCCGTGTCCCTTCTTGTCTCCCTCCTTCTCTTTCTTTCTCCCTTTCTTCTCCTGGCAGCCAGAGCCCTGCTCTGCACATACACATGTCTCAGCATTTAATACCATCATCTAAAAATACATCTCACGCTAACAAGCTGTCTCCTGCAGGTGGCACAATTTAAAATTGATAACAGAGGAACATATCATATCATGATCAACCTTTGATTCATTGACCCTGCATATTAAAGATCCAGAAATAAAATAAACAGTTTACAGGAAAAAAAATAATGCAAAATGAGAGACGCTTTCAAGTGGTATTTTCAAGCCCCGTTTTGGCGGTGGGCTTATGTAATCAGACATAATTGTCTACATATGTTTGGTTACACTATGGGAGAAATGATTCCCAGTCCACCAGATGACATCAGAGGGGTCAGTGTTGGGCCCCCAGATTCTGAGAGCTGCTCTCCTCTGTGCTACCCTATTAGGGAAGAAAGATGCCAAATGTCCGCCCCATTTCCTGCCCAGCCACAGCGCCTTTCTTCAGTTCTCTTTGTGAGGGTGTCCGCATTCTCATCTCCACACTCTTGAACTTGCTTCATGTGCCTCTCACCCACAAATATGTAGAGCAAAGTTTTCCCTGGAAAAGCCTACTTAATAGCTCAGAGATTCAGGATATACATAAATGCACATGGGCTTGAACCCCCACACAGAAACACAGAGGCTGCTTCAACCACCTGGAATAAATTCTGGAGGACATACTTCTCCACTATGGCATCTTGTATTTCTCTAAGCAGACTTCCAGCAAGCTCATTCATTAATCATAATTAGTAGTGTTAGCATAAGCACAAGTAGGACCGGTCTCTCTGCTCTGGAAATCCTTTCTAGAAAAGGGTTATGGGGTGGATGAGGTGTGGTGATGAATAGCTGAGGAGGTGTGAACTATTTCCTCTGAATCATATACAGTGGTGTAAAATCATGTGACACCAAATTTTAATTGATAATTAAAAAAAATCAGGAAAAGAATATAAAGAAAAGGTATATTGATTGTCCACATACATTTAATGTGGTTAACTTGAACCTTCTTACTGCCCTCCCAGAGAGGAACCTGACACACATATATTCAGAGGGATTCTGCCTAAAAAGGTAAAAAATAAAGAACTACTTGGAAGCGACCTTAAAGGGCACCAGGACACTTAAAGAAAGCCTTGACTTTCTTCTATAACATTCTCCCCAAGCATCTGGCTAACTTTCAAACTTAAATACTCAAGGGTCCCAGTGACAGGGAATCCCCGAGATCAACAGAAAGCCAATCCCTCCACGAGACAGCTCTGCCTGAGAGTCTACCGACGTGGCTGTCAACTGTTTTCTCCCCTGACTCTTCTACTCTGATTCTATCTGACCTCCTTGATCCTACCAAGACCTTGCTTGATGTATCTGACCTCACAGATGATGACATGTCTAAACCTATGTATACCACCTAAATCTCCTCTATCATGGGCTCACATTTCCAATGGGTTCAACCACTCTTCATCTGACAAAACAGTTGGTATGCGCCACAGTCATGCCTGCCTTGATCCATCCATGAAGAAGCCACAGCCACCTTCAATGTCGACACTGTATCTCAATTAGTATAGCCCAGGGGCACATGAACACTACTTCCTGCCTACCTTCCCTCACCTCCACCCCCAGTTTATTTTAATTATAACAACAGAAACAAGAGAAAAGTCTCATCACCAACCAGCCGGTTTTCTTCAATAATTCTGAGCCAATAGTTCTCCTGCAGCCTCTTTTGACCTCAGAAAGCCCAGGAAATCACCCCGATCTAAAGAACAGCCCCCTTTTCCAGGTTGCTCGCTTGTCCCGGCTTGCTGTCACCGCTGCTGAGACAGCGGACGATTGATCTGAGAAATCAAGTTGGATTGCTGTCCCAAATCTACACTCAGTTCTCCTTGTGTCTGTCTGATCGATTTCACTCTGTGCGATATAGCTTGTCGCTATGGATTTTCATGCTAGTCAGGAGCCGCCAGCATACCCAAGAACAAGTAGAAGCTGGGTCGCTTCCCTCCCCATTCTTTCAACACACCCAGCCTCTGGCTTTCCTTTATTTACTTAGTTGTTTTTTAAGCAGTCCTTAGACCATTTGAAGAAAGGTTTTTTGTTTTGGCCACAGACCTGTATGCAATGCATTTTGGCTACTGGTACCCTGCACCTGTCCCCCCTTCGCCCCCCAGAGTGCCAGGCTCCAGCGTGTGGCGACACTTGCTACCACTGTTGTGCTGGGTGTCACCTGTTCAGCAGTTCCTCTGAGCTGAACACATGTGGCCGCAGGTGCCATGCAAACGCTGATTGTGCCTGACAGCCCTAGACGCCAGCTGCCTGCACGGAGCCGGCCCAGTGGCCACTTTTTTGTGGGTAGAAAGCTGCCAACGGCATGACCAATACAGAAACGAGAAACTAGGTGACCGTAAAGCTTGGGTAAGTCCTACTAAGTGGCATTCTGAGCCCTGTGGCTTTGAAATAATTGGTAGTGATAGAATTAAAACAGAGGGGAAGAGGAGCCTTGTTTTCTTACACTGATGCCCTGCGGACTGTACATCTGACTGGCTGCGAGTCCGTCACTGTATCCTCCTGTCTGGCTGATAACATGGCGAAGGGTATCCACCTAAACAGTGAACAACAACAGAGAGGAAATTAGTCAGGGAGATGTGGGAGGGAGGCAGCTCATTGTCACACAGGCTACCATCGGGCATGCCATATTAACGTGGTTATTTTGGAGACATTCTTCCCAAGGAAGGGTCCATGAGGAAGAGGCTACGCCCCTCCTCTATGTCAAGTCCGGTATCCTTTCCTAGTTTAGTAAGCAAGATGATAAAATGGTCAAGGAGAGCTGGGATTCCCAACGTTGCAGTGGTGTCCACAATACAGCATGAGATGACAGGGATTGGCGTTGAGGACGGGGTTAGAGGGGAGGGAGTGAAGGGATTTCCCCTTTCCTAGAGATCATCCTGTGGAGCTTTAGCTGTACTGGGGAACCTATAAAAATCAAGGTTGTGTTTAGAGGGGCTTGGGTAGCTGCCTCATGGAGACAGCAGTGTGTGCCATTTTCTTTGTGAGGATATAAATGATGGCCAATTGCTTGTCTATTTGACCAAAGTCTGAACCCATCCTGCCTGCTTGTTTTCAAGGAATGGTTCCTAGGCAAGGTGGGGATCACTGGCCAGCATGGAGGAGTGGATTTTCTCCAAATTCAGGTGTGAGTTGAATCAGCTGACAACTTCCCTAGTAACTCAAACCTAGCACACTGCTTTACCACGGCACCTCAGGTGCTGTGCTCGGGCTGCAGGTGGCTTCCTGAGGTGCGATGAAGGTGAGCTGCTCTCCAGGGAGCAGTGAGGGCCTACACCACACAGCTTCATTTTTGCTTCACACCAGAACCCCAAACCCTGAACCTCAAGGATGACTAAGAAAATGAGTTTAGTCCACTTGGCTGGGTGTTTTTTAAAGCCTAAAAGGAAAACACAAGATAATCAGGTATTTGCTTACTCATTCAGCACCTCCTTGTTTGGGTAATATTGAGTATGGGAAAGCCACAGGCAAGTGGGTAAGCTGTAGTGAGACAAACGACTAAATCCTTCCTCCTTTTCCCTCCAGTGAACAGATTTTGCGGGTTCTACTTGCCTGGTAGGCCCCATTACCTCACCCTTAGCTGTACCTCTCTCCTACCTTCCTAGAGTGACGAGCCAGAGCCAAATGCATTCACAAAGTGTGGACGAGGTTCCCTATGACAATGGTTGTCTTTGTTTTGGTTCGGCGGTTCATACAGTTTTGTTTTTATATTTCTTTTTCTTTCTTAGTCTTTCTCTCTCTCTTCCTTCAGCATTGGGAAATGCCAATAAGACTAAGGGCTCTCGTACTCTAATGCATTCACTTGGTTGCACATTGGCTGGGTCCCTACCTGTGATTGCACGTTGGCTCCAACCTGGGCCCCTTGGTAAGAATCCCCATTGAGTGACTGCACGCTCATGAACAAATCTCCAGAGTTTGACATGTTAAAAGAACTGGAAGAACCTGGAAAGGAAAGAGTGAGGCACCTGAATCACAGAAAAGAAAAGGCTCAATCCCCGCAACTAACAGCCGAGAGGGAGGATGACATGCAAAGCAACCCCCCTCCCCAGTAAAGACTAAAATAAAAACAAAACCAACAGAGTCTGGTTAGTAGCATGAAGAAACAGAGCAAGCAATAAAGGTTGCATATCATTCATGTTATGTGAAGCCACATCTTATTGCAAATTGCCAACAGGTCTGCTTCCCCTTAGGAACTTCAAACTGGGAAAGGGAACATTATTCTTCTTAACTTAGTCTATGCAAATTAAAGATAGTATCTAAACCTAAGGCCTCTCTTTCATGCTTAAAAATTCTAGGGTTGGCCAGCAGACCACAGTTGGAGAATATGGGCTGGTCAATGATACTTCTGTCACCATGTTGGAGCATGTAAACTGGCTTGTAAATGTGTTCTTGCCAAATCCATAAACTTTCCCATGGGGAACAGCCCTGGGAGAGAATGCATAGAAGCTATATTACACATTAGGGCTGGCCTTGAGGAATGAATGTCTTGATATTCCTGATTTCTACAAAGTGAAGTTCCTCTCTGGGGGGCAAACAACCCAAGAGAGCCTCAAGGATCATAAGACTGTGTAAGGATGAGCTAGTCTTCTCTCTCACCTGCCATTTGTAGGAAGATGAAATAAAAAATGGGCCAGGTATTCACAAGCATGCATGAAATATGAAATGCTGATACTCTACTACTCTACTATTATTATCACCACCACCACCATCATTACTAATGGGCCTCAAGGAGAACTATGATTTCCCAGAGATGGAACCTTCTCTCAGAGTTAGCTTTAAGGTCCATCCTGGCAATCCCATATTCCAAGAGGGCCACTGTGGATCCTCCCACCCCACCCTAAGCACAAGGGCATGGAAGAGCTTCATATTATACTGAAGTCATCGTGCAACTTAGCGCATTAGGAGAGAAAGCTCAACGTGCAAGGTTTGGTTAAAATATGACATTAGCCTGGAAAAGGAGAGACTTTAGGGACCCAGGTCAGTTCCACTCTGCCATTTCCAACACTCTGTTGCTCAAATTGTATTCTTGCCCTCACAGTCTGAGACAGCCATCATCCCTGTGGAATCACCCAGCAATAACTGATGCTTCAGCTCTGATGCTTCAGCTAAGCAGAAGAGAAGGCTCTGTTTGTTCCATAGAAGGACCATGTAACTAGCAATGAATTCTAAACTTGGCCACTCTAATCTCTATTAACCTATTCACAGTATTCTTATACTCAAAGGCAAGAACCATTTAAAGGAAACATATCACTGACTAGCGGCATACTGAAATTGGAAACATTTGCATTTTTCATTGTTCTGGGGGATTTTCATCTACATGCAAACAGCTAACTACTGTTTCATAAACTGATCTTTATTGTCAGTCTCCAGCCTTTGGGAAAAAATGGAACATTTTGGAGACTAGGAGATGACTCAAGTACCATCCAAAAAACTATGTCATTTCCGTAACTTTGCAACATGTCCTGTCTTATCTGGCATCTATTTCTCTGTTTCCTTATCTGAAAGAAATAAGAAAAATTGGAACTTAGGGACAAGAGGCATATGATTGAACAGGTGTGGCTTCCATCCAGGGAGTGGGGTTGAGACTTCGGCCTGGAATTCTTCCTATTAATGTGGCACATATCTTGCCAGTGGTTTATCCAATGTGGTGAAGCCAGATTATACTGTGTGTGTGGCCTAGATTATATTCTCAAACCAAGATGTATAATTCTCAGGAATTTATGTCCTAGTTAATTCCCTCTCAATCTTCCTTTAATAACAGGAATATAAACTAAATAATACAAGACACTTTTGTAAAAAAGTGTTAACAATACATAGTTACATTCAGATGCCATTGGAACCAAGAATTATCACCATCAGGAATCCAAATTAAAATTATTTACATGATACCAGATTTTTTCCCCCCTTTGAGAGTGTTTAAAGCCCAGGTAGTCTATATCTGTCCCAATCAAGTACTATGGAATAAACACACATTCTATATGCTTGACTGATGGTTTATTGGAAATTAGCACATAGGCTGAGAAATGGGAGAAACTCCCAAAGAACCATACCGATGCCAAGTACCATGACATCCACAGAACCGTGAAGGCCTGGAAGGTGCCATTTACAAGATATACACTGCAATTGACACAGCTGATTTAAAAAATATATGTGCATAGATAAATTGTAAATATGTCTGACTGCCTAATGTACATAGAGATAAATATGCGCATATCAATGTACTTCATGTACAAATGCATTTGAATCAGAGCAGTAATTGCAGAAACAGTCAAGCCAGTGCTCTTGGCTGTGCTGTTTCAGCATTTCATTGTCTCAGTACACCCATGTTCAACACTCCCATGGCTTCTGACTCTCTGATAAGTATCTAGAGGCAGCGATTGCTGAGGGGGAGACCAGGTGCTGCTAATACCGCAATAAAGCAGACAGGCGTCCACATAAAAATTTAAATCATAAGGGGAGGATATGTTCTTCGTCTGAAACTGCAAGTTGGAAGGAACTTACCAGGGAATGGCGAGCCTACAGGGAGGCCACAGTTCACAGACAAAGAGTGAATGGGCACTTCTGAGAGGGGCCATGGAGTTCTCAAAGGACGAAAATGCAATCACCGGGGTTGCTAAGACCAGTGGGGAACCTTATCTGTGATTAGCAGGGGCATGTTTTAAGACGTGTCTGTAGTGCACAGTTCTGAAGTTGCCTTGGAAAGGGAAGCCGCTATCCAGACACTGGGGACATGTAGGAGTAACATTTATTTTCATAAGAAAATTTTCCAAAGGCTGCATTTCTCCTCTAAAGAGTCTTCAAGAGACTTTCACTTGTTCAGGAAAATAACCTATGTTGACAATCCAAATGAAATAGGAGTGATAAAAAGTGAACCCACAGCAGGACTTAGTCAGCCTGGCCCCATTGATGTTTTACGCCAGATCAGTGTTTGTATGTAGAGGAGTCTTATGTGCTGTAGGAAAGCGGGCCACATTCCGGGTCTCTATCCACTAGAGACCAGTACCCCCCAGACCCCGCCCTTCACCAAACCATATCAAGAAAAAATATTGCCAGACATTACTGAATGTTCCCTGGCATGCAAGCTCATCCCAGCTGAGAACCAATGGCCTAGAATAAGGTTGGATTACTTCTTCTTTCTGAAGGACCCAAGGTATTTAAAAACTTCTTATTTTGCACTGCATTTTTATGAAGTCAAGTAGGGCAAGAACCACTTTGCAGGTTAAAAACCAAGGGTCCAGACGGACTGGGGAGCTGGCCTGACTGGACTCACACGTCATTTGGGGGCACAAAAACCAGTGTCTCCTGGACAGATGTTATGATGCCTGACTTGCTTTTCTATTTCCTACGACACTTCCAATCCCCAACTCAAAACTCACTGTTCCTTTGTACTCAAGGTAAAGAAAAAAGGAGGGGAGGTTGTCCAACTCATTGTTGAGCTTCTATAATTCCAAAGGAGACTGTTTTCACCTTCCACTGAGAAAGTCATGGGAGATTATAGAAAGAAGGAACACGACAAAAAACATCAACGGGATAAAATATTTTACATGGTTTTCAAAAACAAAATTATAAGGATTCCCGTGGAGTGACAAGGGGTGCCAGTGTCTCTGGAGGTGTCTGCTCCCCTCCAATTGTGTGTGTTCTTCATAAAATTCTCTTAGGGAGCTGGTGTCCAATGGTTTTAATGCGATAATCACCCATTAATCCTGGAAAACACCAACCTTTCTACTAGAGGTGCAATAAGAATGTGTACAGAGGGAGAACTTTCATGGCTGAACTTGATTGAACATGGTTGCCTTTCACCCACACACAGTTAAGCAAAAACATTCAGATCCGAGGATTCTGAGCTTCAATAAGCCTGGGCTCGCTTGGCGAATGACAGAACTTGATAAAGCTATCAATGTGAATACTATACCATCTCTCCATTTATATTGCCTATGCCAGTTTCTTTCTTTTTGGATGTAAAATGTTTTCCAGGTGATAACAGCATTTCCAAAGGGGTATTTTAAAAAATTAATTCTTGTTCTTATAATTCTCATTATAAATATAATCTCATTAAAAAATAAAAAAATTGAGAATGTGTTACTCTTGGTCACTCAAGAAGAACTGAGGACTCGGGGTTATAAGCTTTGTTTCTACTAGCCTCTATTTTTGCTTTCTTGTTTTCAATACTTAATTTCCTTGTCATGCTTTTGTTCTTCCATCCAACTTGCCCAGCTTTGTTGGTGTGAAGTATGAAACATGCCAAGACTCTGTAAATGCTTGCTAGTCCTTCCCAGGTCTTAGTTCTTAGTGGTTTTTATGACTCCAACTTAAGGAAGTAGAAGATCAGGAATATACCAGCAAATAGGAATATTTAAAAGTGGCCTAAACACAGAAACTTAAGTATTGCTCTTCACACAAAATCTCTATACAGAATAAGATTTACTTTCTTCCTTGCAGAAGAAATCAGTGCATTTAGTAAAGCTGCTGGGAAAATAAAGATAAAAAATAAAGTCAACCCTGCTTTGATATTGAGGATATAAAAAACCCCTAAGTTCCAGACTTCAAACTCAACCGAAATGTATTTTTATACATTAATTTCTTGTTTAAAAAATTACCACCTATTTTAGTTATCATTTACCCTTTGAAATCATCACAAAGCGAGTACACAACATTAAAAATGCTCTGTGTAAGAAGGCTAAAGTCTTTAATGTTCATACTTCAGCTGTGCATGTATTTGGGGTTGAGGAAGAGTAAAAGAAAATACAGAACTTTTCCTGTTAAAATTCCATGCTATTGCACATACACAATAGTGTTTTCTACTACTTTAGAAAAAAGCATTACAAAGGGGTTCCTCTGCATATTATTTCCAACAACTTAGGCACAACTGGAAGGCTTAGCTCAAATTTTCCATAATAATTTACTTTGTGCTCAGAATAGTCACATAAAGTTTATGCCATCAGAAAAATTTCTTAGAAAATTGTAATCATAGACTAAGATTCCAAAGGAGCCAACACAAGTTTTAAACACAGAGTTGGGGGTTAAAATGCTTACTTTTCTCTTTTTAAGTACTTTAGGAAAGAATAAAAAGTTACAGATTTAGTAATGAAGGGAGCCCACAGGGCTCTTTCTAAGGACTAGTCATAAATCATGCTAAGCCATCTGCAGTGCAGATATATCCGGGACAGGAAAAAGTCATTTTGATATCTGTTTTGCATTATGATAACCTTCGCAGGAGTGTTGAATGTGTTTTTGCTAATGTTGACAGAACTGAACTTCTTCCAAAAACAAGTGAAAATGTCGGCCTAGCAATTCAACTATTATAGTCCAACGAGTGTTGTTGGGTCTGAAACGCTTAATAATTGACCAGATGGGGAAGAAGGAAACACTCTGATTATTGAGCCTGTTAGCCTTGGTCCTTTGTCTATCAGCCAGGCTGGGAAAAATAGTTAACACACACTCAAAAAACAAATATGCTCTTCGTGGTAACCCTAGCTGAGGTGCTGGAAGAAATGTAGTGGGATTGACTTACATTGTCTTACCATATCCATGCTTTAAAAGGCCAGACCATTCTTCATGCATGATTCCATTTGCACAAAAGAAGGCTATGTCAGCATAGCCCAGTGACTTGGAGAATGTTATGATGACATATTAGTGTATGTGGAACCCTACAGGTTTCCAATAACAACCCACCAGAAAATAGAAAGTGAATTTATTTTAATGGACAAACAAGTTTTGGGGTCAAAAATCTCACATACAACCCAGAATGTTAAAAATTAATTTTTGATAAGATAAGCTAACATATTTAAGTGGGTGACCCTTTACAGTTGGAGAGTTCAGTTTGCTCAGATGTATACTCCATATTCAAAATCAATGTATCTGATTCATTATGTGGAAAGCATAATCATCTAAGACCAAACTTATTTAATGAAGAAATATTTGTTCTCTTACAGAAAGTGGTACCGACATGCTTTCCATAGCATACAGGTATACTATGGTTACATTTTATACATTAACTAGGCTTTTTTTTTTATAAGTAAAAAGTTCAGAACTGATGGTACAAAGCACACACAAAAACATTTTATGTTAGCCTAATCTTTGAAATTAGTGATGCAATCCATAGCATCTAAAGTAAGGCCAGAGCACAAGACTGGAATCGGAATAATTTAATTTAATGACTGGATGGCAATTTTTCTTTAAGTTTACATAAAGAAAAAACAGAATAAAATAGTAAAGAACATATAGAAATAATCACAGCCTGGCTTTGTAAACAAAACATTCTAAGGAGATATTGATTAGAAGAGTGAATATTTCTACACAGAACATACACTAGTGATGACCCAGACATGATGTGACAGGAATGGGAAAGTAGACAAGGATAGAAACGTCATGAAACAGACTAAGTGATATAACCATAAAGGGCTAACTCTAAGCAGTAGGTCTAGCTATTTATTGGCATCTTTGAAACTCCAAAACCAACCAATTTATCTCCATCCAACAAATATAGGAGAGGGAAACTTCAGACAAGCTCATTTTAAAAACAGTATAACAAACTGTACTTTGGAATAATAAAAAAAAACACCTAAACTGGCATTCATAACTGAAAAAATACAAAAAGGACAAGTATAGAAATCAACTATCAGAAACCCAAAGAATAAAACGAAAACCCCAATATCATAAAATCAATATAAAAATGGAGAACAATCCCCCCAAATGAAAAGGCAAAACTAACCAGCTGAGTTGGGAGTTGAGGGCGAGTTAGCTTGGCTTCCATGGGCTGACACATTGGTAGCAGTGACAGCTGTCTTGGCAGCATAAATATTGGCTTCCTCTTGAAATTTACCTATGTTCTTCTTGTACCGGATTCGCTTATTTCCAAACCAGTTTGATACCTATGGCAGTTGAGGAGGAGATGAGAAAGTTAACATTTCATCCTGTCCAAACATCACAGAAGAAGGAGACTGAAGAAGGCTAATGGTTGCTTTTGCAACAATTCAAAATTTGAAGAACTTCGAGAGAAGTGACTTCCTTAATATAACACATCTTAGCAAAACCACATTTTCACAAAACCACTGTGACAAAAATTGACCTCTTATTTAAATGAGGGCCCATTATTTCGGGGTAATCATTTTAAATCTGCTGACCTTTTTGAATATATCACACTGACAAAAATCTAGTATTTTGGGAGAAGTGTCTGACACTTATCAATATTAAAGTTGATTCTGGGTAATCAAAATACAGATCTTTAAATATCCATAAAAAGTATATCAATCAAAAGATGTTTTCATCGATATTAGTTTTAAATTTTAAAAGTTATGTAAGTTTAATATGGACTAGATGCTTAATTGAATTGTGCTTTAGATCTTAGGATCAACATAATCCAATCCAATAGATTTCATGCAGCATTCTCAACAAAGATTGCTGTTATTTTCATAAGGGAAAAACGGAAGTCTATCACTGATTATTCTTTTGTATTCCAGGCTTTAAATGGGAAAGCCAACACACACACAATAAACCTCATTTACGTTCCTTTGTTAACTTATTTTCTTCCTGTGGCTCCCGCAGCTGTTCTGACTTGATTCTGTGCCCTGTTTCCTCTATACCAAGCCCTCTGCCAGACACAAGAGGAGACTCAGTGAATTCAAGTTTTATCCTATATATAACTTCTGCCTTACGGAGGAAGCTTTATACCTCATATTCCAGATGTGACTTCAAACTAAAGTACTGTGCTTGTATGTAATTACAGAACAAATTGTGAATTTGGTGAAGGAAAGGGAAGTTAATAGTGCCAGGGCCATAGCTGACATATAATTTATATTTACCTCCAACAATGCCAGGTAAAGGAAATTCCTGCAAGACTACACTTAAGCTAGTTGACATTAGTCAGGGGGAAAAGATAAATAAAAGATAAATATTCCTCACATACAAGAGGAATATAGAGAAAGCAAATGGAAGGTCAAGAAAAAGTCAAAATCAGGAATCTGACCATAGAACTACAGCACACAGCAAAGAAGAGGGAGGAACGGAGGTCAAAACAAGGAAACATGGTGATGGTTCACGGGTGATATGGTAGCTGAGAGCGATGGGGATTACAATGATGTAAGAGAAATATTTATTAAAAAATAAAGAAAAATGAGTTTAACTTAAGGGAAAAAAACACTTTAAAAAATAAAATGCATCAGCAAAATAAAAAATCTTATCTAAGTAGTTCTCAAAAACCTATGCAATTTAGACTGATAAGAATGCCAAGCCTTTGTAATAAAATCAAGTCACATTAGTAAATTAGAGAAAAAAAATCAACATAAAGTGGTTATTATGCCTACAGAAAAAGAGAATTAAGCTGGAAGAAGAAGGGTACCTTGCGTACACCTGAGGACCACTGTATATCTAATTTCACTCCCACACTCATATTTTTCTTAATAAAATTTTCATTATCCATATGGATCAATCATAACTGTGGCTGCTTTTTGACTTCTACATAGACTAGAGAGAAGAAAAGATGTAGGGAGATTTTTCTGAGGTAAATGGATGAGTTGGAGGAAAGAGGGAGAAGATGTTTAGTATTTTGGGAGGACTTTTGAGAAAAGAAGGAAATGTCTGAGGTCTAAGTAAAATTAGCAACAGGGAAGATTATGAAAAGCAAGAAGACGGGGAAGGGCCATTCTGTGGAAAGAACAAAACTGGGAGGAAAATGCTGCTTGGTTCAGGTATTTCCTACATTGCTCATGAGGTGAATCAGATGCGTAGGACAATGCATAGGATCAATGCCTTCATTAATTAACTTATTATTCAATAATCATGAACTAAGGGTTTACTATTTGGTAGCACCAGAGACATACGAAGGCAGATCTGAGTTAGGCAATACAGAAAGAATCAGAGTCTCTGAGAAAATCTGGTTCACATTTTGAATATGTTACTTTTGCAGAGTCTATGGGCAGAGCCAAAGTGAAGTACAGTGGGAAGTAAGATGTATGTACTTGGTGTTCTAGGGAAGAAGGCTCATCTGGATATCATCTGGGTATTCGAGCACAGTTCTATCAGATAAAGTATGCAGAACAATCTTTTTCAAAGTCAACTGTGCGTGGAGAGCTTGTTAAAGGATTCCTAGTATGGGATTCCATGGGCTGACACATTGCACTTTGTCTTTTTGTGGGACTTGCATTCAGGATGAATGAGACCCAACACTTGACATTTCTAACAAGATCCTGGATGTTGCTGATGCCACTTTCTGTGGTTTACACTTTAGGAGCAAGAACGCAGAAAAGGGATGTGTAGGGGGTCAAAGGAGAAAATGGTTGGATTTCAGATGGGCTTTGGGGTGAGAACATATTTTTTTGTTTTAGATCATGAGAAGAATTAATTGTAAGTAGATTTCAAGAGGATCTGTGTCTTCCAAGATATGGTTAAGAGCCATTAGCTAGGATATCTAAATATGAACAGTAGTTTTAGGATAATAGTTTTAGGGTAGACAGAGACATCTTAGACTCTAAAAAGTCTAAGCTAAGTAGTCCAAGGAGGAGGAAACTCTAGAGGCAATGGTGTCAGGGAAGTCAGGGTACAAGAGGAAGGTGGGATGATTATTAACAATAACAGAAAAAGTCAAAAGGGCATCCCCTAGATTTGGGGATTTCCTTGCAGATGAGGAAATTAAGGCCCAAAAAGAAATAGTGCATGCTCCTAAAATTCCACAGTTGACCACTGGCAAAAACATACTTCTAGCTCAATATTCTTTCTGCGCTAATGTAGAAATCCATCTGGACTTGTTTGGCAATGGTGGAACAGACTGGTTGTTGTGGGAAGGGAATGATGTGGTAGAGAGGAAGAACAGCAAGGTTTGAAGTGGTAGAGGAGAGGAAAGGCATGATAGTCAACAAACACTTTGCCCTGGAGTTTCCATAATGAAGGGAGTGAAAGTTGCCGGGATTCTGTCTTTTCTGTAGATGCAAACAGACTAGCTACTGAAAAGTCCATTCTAGATTCAAGAGGAATTTTTTCTGAATTCCAAAATTTGAATTCATGTAAGATAGTGATTTAATTCTACTCAAGAAAAAGAATCCATAACTGATGCACATTGATTGTAAGTTAATGATATGATTCATACTGGAACCAGTTCTCAAATATGCAGCAAATACCAAAACAAACAAACAAATAAACAAACAAAAAAAAACAGTGATTCTCTCGTGGACAAGGGGCCTAGCTTTGGACTAGAATAGTCCTAGTCAAATTAGATCACCTGAGTTTAATTAGCAAGCTTTTGTTTCCCAAAGGCCGTCAAGCTGGATATGACCTTTAGTTGGGTCATAGCACCAAGGGGAGATTGGGGTTGAAAAGTTGAATTTTTCCACCTACTCTGAAAGGATGTTTTCAAGACTGTTGCAAAATCACCCATGGCTTGTGGGGGAACACCTGGAAACCTCTTCATTGTATATGCCCTTTGTGGATTCTATATTTTGGCTAAAACTAATTCTGCTGAGCGAAACACTGGTTGATGGGACCAACACCCTGCCAGGAGAAACAGAAGCCAGGATTCAATTTAAGGGAGTACAGATGCTCAGTTTATACAAAATAGCATCTACTTCATTTGAAAAATGTTGTTTCTCACTACAGTAGGTCCCTTCTTCTCTATACCTCCCTTGCTCCCACCCTGGCCCTTTTAAAGAAATATCAACACTTTTGACTTTCTTGCATGTGCCATGATTCTCAGGAATATTTTCTCTTATATATTCCAGAACTATCCATTAGGTCTCAACTAGAGACAGCTGATGATGCTTAAGGTGTACACTACAGAAGATTGGATAGATTCTTTGAATGGGCAACATGTACAAAGACAATATGTTATCTCTGTGTATAAATCTTGCTTACTTGTAGCATTCATATTAACATTGACGACTCCAGGGTTTCCATCACATATCTTTACAAGTCAATAGGCCCTGGTTAAGGTTATTGCTCTTAGTGGGGAGGGGGCATTCAGTGACATTTTGTGCAACGATTCCAATACAATCATAGTGACATGTTAAAATTCTCACAGTCCATCAGTTACAGAGTGAGCACTTCAAGAGAAGACATTTGAGTCCCTTTTATTGAAAGGTTACACTCACTGACTCCTCAGGTTACTGTGTCGGGCAAACAATGGGCTAAGGAACTGACTACGAAAAACATGAGAAAAGCAGACAGCTTTGAGTACATATAAGAAGTTTCTCCCATTTGAAGAAATGCATACTCATGGGGAAGAATCCTAACTCTATTTTAATATGATAGTTATACTTCTATGACTTCTGCCAGTCCTTCTCAAGTGTTCCCAGGTACTTACTTGGAAACTCTCTTATACACTTTATATGCTTACTCTGCCATTTTAAGGCTCTAGTTGATGGGATTTGCAAAGCATGAATGTTTAATAAAGCAAGACTTCCAAGATCCTGCCATTATTCTGCTCTGAACAGGCTACAGGCTGAGCCTTTGGTGGGCTCCTTACCTGGGACACCGTGATGCCACACTTCTTGGCTAACTCCTCTTTGGCTTCCTCACTGGGGTAAGGGTTGCTGAGATGGGAATAGAAATATTCATTCAAGATTTCTGTCGCTTGCTTGTTGAAATTCCGTCTCTTCCGCCTTTATGAAGAAAAAGGAAACAATAACCAAAAAAAACAAGTTCACACCAAATACATAAAAGGGAGAGAAGAGTTTCTACTTTTAAGAGGAGCCAAATTTTGGAGTGAAAAGTGGTTTAGGGGAGATTTACGTAAGGAACTGGACGCCAAAAGCGTCACTTAGAAGCATACATTAGTAGTCCTTTTAATGAGGACTCCCTGGTGGCCTAGGGGTTGAGTCTCAGCACTATCAAGCTATCACCTCTATGACCAGAGTTCGATCCCTGGCCAGAGAGTTGACCTACATGGCACAGAAGATCTCTCCTGTCTCACCCACTGCTCTCCTCAGCAATGTATTTCAGTAGATCTGCCTGTTCTGCTCCCATCTCTGTCTCTGAGAGTCCTCTCGCCCCCTGCACCTTCAGCATACACCCCAGTTCCTGTATGCAAAATAGCAAAATAAGTAAAATTTCTTAAAAAAAAATTAAAAAAAGACACCTCTTGTGACATCCTTAGGCTGTGACACCAGAAGATGGTCAAAAACGCGGAGTGAGCAACATGGTGTTTCAAAATTGAACCATCTGTGTTTGGAAGCCAGGATTAACTGAATAGCTGTTGGAGTTCTGAAATGCCTCTCTAGACCTCAGCTTCTTCAACTGAGAGTCGAGTCACACTGAAGTCTCCGAGAGAGTAAGGGAGAGAAGAAGCCACCTGCTAAGACCATCTCCACACAACCTCCTCTATGCTTTATGGGTGTCTCTTCCACTGAGGACACTGTTTCTTCACGGTGCTCCAGGAACTGGAACTTACCCTTCAGAGCAGTCAATTCAAGTAATTTGTCACCACTAGAAAGGCAGGTAGGTTCCTTTCCATTTGCCGATGAAGAACTGAGTTCAAAGGTCACTCAGCTGCTAGCCAAGATATTAATTCAGGTCTGCCTGACTACAAAACCCTCTATACACATTGCCTCTTGGCAACTACACAGAGTCTTTGTAGCCCTAAGTTAGAAATAAGTTATCGTGTTTTTCTCTAATCTATCCCCTGTAAATGCAGGTGACATTTTTAAAAAAGCATCTAGAAGAGAACATGGAAGGGACGGAAATGAACCTCCCATCTGCTCGACCTCCCTCAAAAGTGACACTTCAGAAGAAAGACCAGCTGCTAAGTGGTAAAACAAAAGCCCACTGAAATCTTTTTAATATACAGGTTGCTCTAAGGAAGAAAACCAGTTTTGGAATAAAAGCATTTCTCTGCCTTTAAAAAAAGTGTTAATTGAACTAATTTAAAGTGAGATTCATTTTACTGCCACCTCACAGCTAAGGCTGTGGATCGCTGGGGCGTTGCTGATGGACGGTAGGCTGAGTGCAGAGGCTGCCTTGAGATGGTGAGCTCCTTCTCAAAATTAGCTCTATTAGCACTTTGCCTTTCCTGCTTTATCGAAAGCTTTTCCTCATGGAAAAGATTTCCAGAACAGCCCTGGTTATGCCAGGATACAGAGTTTCCCAATTTAGCCAAGAGAAAGCACTGATCACCTTGCTAGATAGGAAATTCAGCTAATATTGTATTTTCAGGGTCCCACTTGGATTAATTAACACAATAAAGTGCCTGATTTTACCGGATGAATACCATCTGTCCATAGGTATTAACCACATCTGTCCAGATTATACCAAGCCCAAGTCACACTCCCAAATCATGCTGAGTTTCTGGGTCACCCAGCATCACAAATTAGGCAGATTGGACTGAAAGGCGCAACTGAAACAGTAAGGTATGTGTTAAAGCTCTTGCATGATGGGAATTTGAGGGAGAGCCAAGCGGCTACCAGGGTCTCCGGGTCAGTCTGTATAACCTCTGGCTTCCTCTTTGCCTGAAGAAGACAGTTGTTTTAGGCCTTGGGAGCTAGACCCTGAAGGCTGCCCTAATTGGGAGAGCTCACTCTGTTGTCTGCATTAGCATTATTGTATTTTTTGGGACTCTTCCAATTGAGCTCAAAGGAAGCCTCCCTGGCATGAGCTGGTGGCATGGGGCTGGTGCAGCCAGCTGTTCCAGCTCTCTTCTCTGGGGAATGTTCAGTTCTTCCTGGGAGGTCTTATCTGCTCCAATGGATATGCTTATCACCATTTTCAGTAACTGTCTCCATCTAGGGTCTTTGAAATCCCAGGAACAGGAATTTTCAGAATTTCAAGAAATGGAGGAAAAATAACACTCTTTTGATGATACGGTTACTGGAACTCAGACCTGGCTGCTTCACTTGAAGTGTTTGTTTTGGCTTTCTGAGTTAATATTTGTGATTGCATGTTAATCAAAAGCTTTGACATCTGGCACCTCAGTTTTTCAGATGAAGTTGATTACATGTTACAGGATGAGACATCTAGAAGCATAGTGATCTGACAGTGAGAAGAGCAGGTGCACACGCTTGATGCTGTGGATGCTCTGTCTCCTGCCCTCACGCCTCTCCGAGGAGACACTCCCACTGGACTGGCACTGCCTGCTCTGGGCATGTCCACAAACCCTGTGTTGTCAAAACTAGTATCACATTTTACCCAAGTTAGTGCCATAATCTTTATTACTCACACTACCCAATGGCATCATCACAGCTGGAGGTCATTATATGTGTTATTTGTCCTACCCTCCACCTGTCCATCCATCCATCCACCCATCCATGCATCCATCCACTCACCCACCCACCTGTCAACTTACTCATTCAAATATTTGAGTATGAAGCTTAGAGTGGTTCTCAAGTCTCACCACTCTCTTAGGTTCATCAAATGATTGATTCCAAAGTAAATCCTGCCAGTTCTATTCTTACAGATCCATCCCACATTGCATTCTTAGTGGTACTGTTATTTTCAAAATGGGTTTAGATGAGCCACTGCCCATCACAGTAAAGTCTTGCAAGTGCTATTCAATGGCACTTGAACCATGAGGGACATGTCCTCTACTTTTACTAGGCAATACAGTAGTCATTAGCCATGTGTGGTCACTGAGCCCCTGCAATGTGTTCAGTATAAGTGGAGAACACATTTTAAATTTTATTTATTTTTTAAAAGATTTATTTATTTATAAATAAATACAGAACTGGGGTACAGGCCAGAGGTACAGAGGTGATGAGAGGATTCACTAGAGACAGAGTGGGGACCAGAATAGACAGATTGACTGAAATACACTGCTAAGGGGAGCAGCGGGAGGGTCAAGAGAGGTCTGCCATGCCATGTGGGTCACCACCTCTGACTGGGGATCAAACTCGTGCTGAAGTGGTTGTAGTTAGCTTCATAGTGCTGCACTTTAACCTGTTGCACCACTAGGGAGGGCTCATTTATTTTTATTTTAAGTAACTTAAATTTTAAATCAAATCATCACATTCTAGCCAGTGCAACTTTAGAGCAATGTTCTGCAGAAATGTTATGCTCCCAGTCCTCTTGGAACGAGAACACGAACTCAGCCCTAGGCAAGAAATGTCTTTAAAACCTTCAGCTTTAATCTATTCCATAATAAACCAAGGTTTACTGAATATTTGAGTAAAGTGGGAAAGGGGTACTGACTTACATCACCCCCACTGGAGTGGTTCCCATCTACCCTTCCTCCAACCCAGTTCATCTTCAAGAAAATCATTACAGTAATTCCGTCAATCTTGAATCTGATCATGCCACAAATAATAACACATAATTAAGTGTATAATAATATGTAATATAGTGACCCCTCTTATCTGCATTATTATTGAATCATACAAATATTAGGTTTAGTACACTAATAGCATATTACTTATTAAATTACCTTACTTGTTCCTGTACATGAGACTAGGCCCATTTTACCGACAAAACTGAAATACACTGCTAAGGGGAGGAGGAGAAGCCATTGCCTGGGTCATAGAGGTAGTCAAGATTGGAACCAGAATCTGAGGTTTGTCAGTTCCCCCTCTCTTTTGCAACTAAGAAAACCATATTTACAGTCTTGACAGTAAACTTAACCAAGTTTCTCGGCATCAGGCTTAGTGGGCTAAGTGTACCTAGTGCGACATGAGATGATAAATGTGGAAAAGAGAATGAATGCAATTTTCAGCTAAGTTCCTAGAGCATAGTCAAGTCCACATAGAGAAGATAACTAGGACATAATTTGATGCAGGGCAAATGCAGAGTAGAGGAGTGTAGATGGGATGGTTTTGAGCAAGCCAGCAAGATGGTGCCTCCCTAGTGCACACGCCAGCCACTGGAGTGTGGGTGGAGCGCAAAAATGCCAGTACAGCATTGTTGTGATGACATTACTAACCAGCTGACTGAGGCGATGAAAAGGGAGATCAGGTTGTAGCCTTAAATGAAGGAGATTCCTCTCCCTGTGTCCAGAAGGGAAGCGAGAGGTCAGGTGGTGGGCTTCCAGAGAGGAGCCTCCAGAGACCTCAGTGCTTCAGTCACAAGGAATGAATTCTGCCACCAGCTGGAATGAGTTTGGAACGGGAAGGACCCTGAGCCTCCAATGAGGCCACCATCTCAGTAGAAACCTGGATGACAGCTTTGTGAGACTCCTGTAGAGGACCCAAGGGAGCCAGCCCTTACTCTCAAAGAACAGAAACTGTGAGGTAACAACTTTGTGTTGTCTCAGCTGCTAACTTAGTGGTAATCTGGTAAGCAGCAATAGAAAACTAACGGTTAGGCAATGAAGCAGCAATATTTGAATCTTCATTCTTAATGACATGACAAACACTAATTATGTTATTAAATCAAATTCATCTTGTATTTTATTTACCTCCCATGCAATCTTTTTTGCAGGAAGCCATACCCAACAAATGTATGGTTCAGAGTGGTGCGTGAAGACCAGCAGAGAGAATGTCCTTTTTACCAAGTGTGGTTTAACTAGTTCTATTATAGTTCTAGAAGCCAGGATCAGAAGGTCCAGGCAATCAATGATTTTTTTTTTTTTTTTTTTTTTTGTGCTGGGAAAACCATTTGCTCACTTTGTCACTGGTATTTGGGGTTTTATTCTTTCACTGATACTAAATATACTCTCAAGATAAATACTAATAAAAACACAACAGGTTGCTTTATTTTTGTTCTTGGCTCAGAGGCACTGATTTAAATGTTGCCACCAAAGCAGGAAAGAGGCCCTCTCTTGAAGAGATGGCTCTTCTGGTGCCAATTGGAACAAACTAGGCAAAGGCTGGTGGCAGAAAAGGAACCATGTACAAAAAAAAGCTTGCCTAGTTTTGTGTCTTGTAGTGTCTGACCTTCAACTGGGCACTGTAGAAGAGAAGAACTCTCAGGAGACAATGCTTCTGCTCCTCCCTTCTCCCTGATTTCTTTCTTGAAAAGAACCTCTATCTGGGCCAAACTTTTCTTTTTCTTTCTTTCTTTCTTTCTTTTTTTTTTTTTTCAATATCTGCCAACAGAAATACCAATTCCAGCATTTTAATAGAGTAGTTGCCATGGGGATTGAACAATACATGTGGAGCAGTGGCTGCTGTGGGCCAGGGAAGAAGCCCAACAAAGGCCGCCAGTCATACTTACTTCCACCCTGAGGACTGGCAGGCGTTAAAGGGGCCTAGAGCTGAGGGCCCCAGGCAAGGGAGAGGCTCGGGGTCTCTGGCTTTAGGGAGGCCTCTCCTGCCCACACTGTTTACTACAGCCAGCCAGGAGGTGAGATCTTTATGTTTACATTCCTTTAACTTGCTCCATGGAATTCCATAGGCACAGAGGCAGATCTTGCTTGCTGGCATTCTCATTTCAAGACCATGCACTCCAAAATACACTGAGGGAAAGGGAGGTCAGGGGATGCCAGGAGTTTTAAAGAGGTCAGTCGACTGTAAAGTCTACAGTTGTGAACACAGAGAAAAATACAGGTAAGAGAGTTGAATACATGATTTTCAGGGATGAAAAAAACCAAGAAGAGCAGTGATTCTTTCTGTCTGATTAAAATGAGACAAAACTATAGATCATGAGATGGTATACTACCCTAGTATATCTAACCTCTGAATAATCATAAAAGATTGGGGCTATTTTCAGTAATTGAAATGGCGGCTGACTTAAGATGGGCTCTAGATCTGAATGGATACTCAACTCTGAAAACATAATCTATTTACTAGATTAATTATTAGTACTGCTCTACTTCTTACAGAGTAGAAGAAAGATAGGATCTTTATAGTTCTAGAATAGATCACAGACACTAAAGAAAACAAAGGGATTTGTAAAACCTCACTGGTCTAGAGTATCGGGGCATCAAGAATAGATTACTTGTTCCCTGTTCTCAGTTTCTGACTGAAAGGACTTCTGGCTCCACAGTTTCTTCAATTCAATTTTTTGAATTCACAAGTAAGCCAGTGGGAACAATGCCAGACAAGAAACATTCAACCATAATTGAAAATTTGGCCCACATCAGACCAGTCCTTGTCCCTGTAATCTCAAGGGACCATGTCTTATTCATCTCTGTGCTCTTAAAATTTAGTCCAGTAACTTAGCACATGACAATCTATTTATGAAGATTTGCTAGACTGAACTGACCATGCTCACCGTCTATATGAAGTTTGGAAAAGATTCTAACTCTCTATCTGAGCTCTCTTTCTTGGAGAAAGCATGTCACCTCAATATCTCCACAGGCCCATAGTTACAACAGGTACCTAGTGGGATGAAAGTAGGAAGTTCTGCCTTTTCTGTCATTGTGGTTAAGTTGCCTTTCTTACATTCACAGTGAGTCCCAGTGGAGATCAAAATCACGCCTCCTATCACACATCACTCTGGAACTGTTAAAACCAATGACTTAGCCAGACACTTGACCCAAAGCAATATTGTGATTTATAAGAAATGTATATTTTGATCGTTCAGGTGACCAAAAAATATTTTTATTGCATTTGATCCTTATCAACAGGTCCTGGCTGATCACAGTTCCCAAATGCCTTGGAATTTCCTAAGTGATAGTGAAAAAGTTATTTCTTGTTATGATAATGAGATAACTTTCAGGGACTAAGGATGGGGGCTGGGTGCCAGAAGAACCAAGCGGGTAAGGAGAGGGTTGGAATTGCCAGTCCCACCAGGGAGGGGAGAAAGGCTACACCTTGAGTTAGTTGCCAATCCTTTAATCAGTAAGAGTCCAAGTGGTGAATATGTAGAGATCTGGGGGAGAATGGCACCTGGAGAGGGCATGGAAGCTCTGTGCCTTTTCTCTGTGGCTAGTCCTGTGCATTGCTTCATTGGCTATTCCTGAGTTACAACCTAAGTGGGCAATAAGGGATCTAGTGAGTAAACTGTGTGCCATTTCAGCAAATTCACTGAACATGAGAGGGTCATGGAGACCTCTGATATATATAGCTAGTAGATCAGAAGCATTGACAACGAGGTGGGGCTTGTAACTGATGACTACAAAGGAGGATGGTATATCTGTGAAATCTGATGCTTCCTCTGGGTAGACAGCATTGGAGCTGATACCCTAAACACACACACACACACACACACACACACACACACACACACACACACACACTCACACTGTCATGTTGAAGAAAACTGGAACCCAATACCCTAACCCACTCCAGAATCTCCCTTGGAATACTGGGTTGCTGCACATCTAACAAGGAGACCACGCTGCTGTCAGAGATGCCAACATGGATTCTGGTCCTGACAGACCAGCGGGGGACTCACCGTGCATCCAGAAACCGTGAACGCAGGATCATGACGGCCTCACACGTGCTTTGCTTGAGCTGCATCTGGATGGAGCTGAACTTGCGGTGGATGATGCTCACCATCCTCTCGATCTCTTTTGGGGAGATGGGTCTGGTCCGGCTCTGCTCGCGCAGGAGATTCATCACGTGGGTGGTGAACTCGTTGCAGGCCTAGACAGTCAAGATAGTAAACGCAAGGCGTGTTGAGGGTCCAAGCTCAGCACTGCCAGGTTCTTGACAACAAGCATTGTAGTTTTCCTAGAGATTTGGGCAAGTACAGAAAACTGGGCTATCTGTGGGATTTTACCAAACCAGAGGCAGAGTCAATGACTGTCAGAAAATCCATCTGACTCTACCTTTGGCTGTGATGGAGATTCTTGAAAGGAAAGGGAAATTCTTAATCATTCCCCGCACCCCCCCCCCTTAATCATGGTTCTTATGATTTTACTGTGAAAGATGAGAAGATTAATCCTGGTATAAAACACACTTTATAACCCTTCACCCCAGTGTTAACAGCCCCAAAGAGTTTGGGGTCAAGTAGAAAATGAGTTCTCTGCTTTGTCCATTATCTCTAATATCATTAGAGCTTCCAAATAGTGAATGCACAGTCAAAAGTGGAATCAAGAGCTTTGATAACTCCTGGGAGATTGCTCATCAATTTAGTTCTACTTCTAATTTTATGGTAGCAACTGGCCTCCTGAAGATCCTATGTCTATTACACAAAAGGAATCTGTCCTCAGGGGCCTTACAGAAACAGCACCGGAACACGATTTAGAGGATTCAGGAGTCTTCCTTGCAGAAACTGCCAGGTCATAGATTAACAAGTGATCAGCTCAGTAAGTGAAGTCAGAAAGCATTCTCCCCCTCTCCTTAATTCACAATTAGGGAAACGTGTGGCCCAGAGTGCTGAAGGACCTTTGGTACAAACACAGATCAAACAAAAAACAGCTGAGACAGGACCTGAACACCCTGTATTCCAGGCCTGGAGCTTCTGTCCTCTTCAGAGCCTAGCCTTGCTCTCCGAACCCCACTTTCTCACTTTTAGTTCCATGACTGATCTTTTGCAGTTAGTTTTCCTTAGCTGAACATTTACTAAAATGGCTATTCACAGGTTCACTCACTTCAATGCTATAAAACTGTATTCAATTTGTAATGAAAAAGACAAGAGAATGCTTTAAGAGCTGAAGAACTAAGGCCTCACTGGGCTCCAACTTGCTATTAACACAGACACACACTCATTAGTGATGACAACGCATTGCCGTGAGTTTCATAGCACAAAGCCCGTCGTAGCTGTCGATAATGCAGGAACAGTGACACATTTGCTGTTTGTTTCTCTTGTAACCCTTCCAGCTTGGCCAACCAAAGATACATAGACAGGTGCACTCACTGGCTGTGTCTACCCTGGGGACCGGAGGCCAGCTCATTCTAGACATCTGGGCCAAACCTTTCACTGCTCAATCCCTTCTTTTTTAGTCTGAGAGTAGATTTAATCATGGCTAACCCTGTGCTAGGCTAGCAGTACCCGTGAACTTGTGTGACCTGCAGCCAGAATCAACCTTTCACAGAGCGTGCTGAAGAAGACCACAGATGGCCTGAGTTCAGAACATGCTCGTGGATTCTTAGCAGTGATGTCTCTGCAGTTTACATAACCTTTCTGTGCCTTACCTCTTTTATTTGAGAAAGAGGGAAGGACTGAAGAACAATGACACATGTATCTGATCCTATAAAGCTGTATCATTATTATCTTTTTTTTTTTTTAAAGATTTGTTTATTTATACATATAGAACTGGGGCAAGGCCAGAGGTGCAGGGGTGGTGAGAAGATTCACAAGAGACATAGTGGGGAGCAGAACAGGCCGACCAAAGAAGCACACTGTTGAGTGAAGCAGGCAGATAAGGAGAGGTCTGCTGCGCCATGTGGGTCACCTCTGGGGTAGGGATCGAACTCATGCTGATGTGGCTTTAGCTTCTTAGTGCTGTGCTTTAACCCACTGAGCTGCCAGGGAGAGCCCTGTGTCATTATTACCTTTTAAATATATAGATAACTTAGAAATACATCTTATTCCAGTGATGTGGTAAACTTCCCCAAGCTTCTTGGTAAACATTAAGGGGGTCATGAATCTTTTCTTTCTACTGTGTGGGCATACACTGAAGACACATCTATAGATCAGGTCCATATAATACTCTGCTATACACTATGGAAATGATTATCTAAACATAAGGAGCTAAACATACTAGCTTCTCCTGTCCCCAAGCTCTACCAACCAATGGGAGGAACAACAAAGAGAGGGAAGTACATCCTTCAGCGAGTTGGCCAAGTCTGGGGTTACAGGGATGGGGAGTGGAGGGTTAGGCATAGAAGATCCTAACCAGGGGAAAGTTGCCCCACTGGGTTGCAGCTGTCCCACTTCCTGGAGGCTCCAGAGGATGAGGGGCTGGGTGTGGGGTCTGTCAAATGCACTGGCTCTCCGCTGGGAAGCCACGGTGGTGCTCGCTAGTAATAACATGCTTCATTACAGAGAGTAAAATACTCGCAATACCTGATGTTTGTGCAGGGCATGTTATCCCGAGGCCCTTTCTGCTCTGCCATCAACAGACATTGGCGTCTCTTCACCCACTGCTGAGGCAGAGTGGGGCAGCTGTTGCATAGCTGCTCGGGGGCACACAACCGGGAGCCGAGGAGTTCCAAGTTGGTCTGATGTGGGCAGAACATAACGATCCAGGTTTTTCCATGACTTGAGCCACCCACACCTTCTCCTCAGTTCTCCCAAGCTCAGACCTTTGGATGCTGGGCTGCCTTGTGAGGCTGGGCATTCACAATGTGAGAGCCGTGTTGGAGGCTGAAGTGACACGTTAATTATTGGAACCCTCTCGGCGGAAGATGTCCTTGACAGTCTGCCGTAGACTGGCATTAAGACTGTCACTTTCTAGAGCTACCACCATTGCAGTTCCCACAGAAAGGAGGTGTTTCTGAATGCCCACATCTGAAGCATCAGGCTGGGGCATTAAGGAGAGCAGCAGACTGAAGACATCCTTTGAGGAAGTTGGAATTTACCTCTAGGACTCAGTTCAGCCTCTGCGCTTCCCTTGCTCCCTCAAACTGGATTTAGTTGCAAATGTGATCAGCCAGTGTAACTAGGATTTTGAGTAAATGGAACCAACTCAGCCCTGTTGATGCTCAGTGGTTTATTTATAAAAGCTGAGGAACTCTGCAAAGTTACAAGAGCATCACTTTTCTTTCTTTTGGAATAGCACTTGGGAGTAAAACTCAGATTTCTGACATCACGGTTTTATCTATTAGAATATGCCAACTCTCAAATACCTTAGCTACCAACATGATCTGCTGAAAAGTGTTTTACCAATCCCACTTAATGAACAAAACAATCTCCTTCCCTTTCTTTCTAATGAAAGTCCCTAGAAACTTTTCTTTAATAACCTTGAGGTGAAATAATGGCTGATTGAGGCAGGTTTTTTTGTTGGGGGGTGTGGAAGCAAAGAGGGTTCTGATAGCTAATTGATAGTCTGGTGATCTACTGCCACCATGTGAGACACAAAACAACACAGCTAACTATTAAATAGTCAATTTGGTAATTTCATATATGAAATAGAGAGTGACATTCTTACTTTACTGAGGTTTCCTGTTTTTAAAAAAGCTCCCATGAGGAATGGTTATAGAAAAATGAAGAAGATACATCTTTCAGAAACACTAGCAAGAAGGTTAATGGCATAATTTCCTTACAATCTGCTATTTACTATAATTAACAATACAACTAATAGTAATAAATTATTAAGCACTCCAAGTATGTTTAGTAATATTCAGTTTTTACCCAGAAAATGCCCATATAAATACAGGAGTGATCCTTTAGTATACTTTTTAGGAGTAATAACTACAGACTACTATTGCTATACTTAACAATTTGTGTCATTGGAGCTTTTGTCACTGGAGTTATGTGTCATTGGAGCTTTTCTTTAAGTCCCTAATCTCCACCATGAGAAGTTTCTGGAGAACACTTTTTAAAAAAAGATTTATTTATGTATGCCTACAGAATTGGGATACAGGCAGAGGTGCAGGGGCGGTTAGAAGATTCACCAGAGACAGAGTGGGGAGCAGAACAGGCAGACTGATGACATACACTGCTGAGGGGAGCAGTGGGTGAGACAGGAGAGGTCTGCTGAACCATGTGGATCACCTCTGGGGCCAGGAATTGAACTCATCCTGAAGCTGTTGCAGCTAGCTTGCAGTGCTGTGTCCTAACCTGCTGTGCCACCAGGAAGGGCTGGAGAATGTTTTAATCATGTAAAATAGCATCAATCTAGTCCAGAGCAGCAGAGAGGACAAGCTGGTTTCTTCCAGGTATAGAGAAACACATACTTTCTTTACTGACCAGAGTGGAATATTGCTCCAAAAGAGTCCAAACACTGAATTCTGGAACATTCTTGAATGTATGGCCCAAACATATCACCTAATACTTTAAACCTCCATGTCCTTATCTGTATCCAAATGGGGTGGTGACAGGACTCATCCTGGGTACCAAACCACAATGATGTTTTGAGCAAAATTACTGGACATGTGCCATTATGTCAGCAAAGCTATTTTAGTTTTGGATCAGGACAGAAAGTGACAGGGCAAACACTCAGTCCTAAATCTCTGGCAACCAGGGCTAAAGATAAAGTCAGTTTTCAACATTCAACAGCCACACAGGTTGAGGTTTAGCGGGGAAAGCTACAAGTTGGGTTCATCTTGTTCCCTGGAGTCTGAGTGTGCTAAGCTAGATGACAGGTTAGATCAGGCTGACTGGCGAAGGTGAAGTGGGAAAAGCCAAGAGGACTGCCAGGGACCTTTGTAGGAAATGCCTGTCTGTCATCCCAAGTTATTCCTCTGGTTAGGGCAGACCTGGAGTTCTAACATGATGGCGCAGGCAGGGACACTCTCCCAGAGCAGCCAGTTTGTTCAGCTTAGCATCTGCTGGGACTGCTGAAATGTCCGTGTGAGTTAATACAGCTGCAAAAGCAGTAGTTCTTTCTTGAGAAGGCGGAAGTGATAGTCGCAGGTTCTTACCACAAAATGGCTTTTCTTTACCTTCGTTTAGCTCACCCCTGCTCTTTGTCTGATGGCTGGATTCTACCTGCTTGACTTCAAGCTTCTCAGCAATTTTTTTCCCCTTGTGAAAGAAGGGATTTGGTAGGACTTCATTTCAAAGGTAGATAGGAATGCAATAATGAAACTTTCTTCACTTTAAATTTTAAAATGCCTATTTCTATTTTAAAATTTAAATGTTCTATTACATTTGCATTTGCCTTCTAGACAGTCATAAGTGGGCTCTGGAGGGTCTTCTACCTTTTGCTTTTCCTCCTTCTTTCATGACACTTAAAAAAAAAAGCTGGACAGAATCCTAAAGATTTAAGTTAACTGTAGAACTGCAGGTCAAGGTTGCATTGAAAGAGTTGCATGAAAGGTTGCATGAAAGAGGGGTGTTAGCTAAATAATGGGAGGAAAGGCTGGTGGAAGGGGTTCCATAAAGTAGATTGTTATGTGTGTGTAAGTATGTGTGTGAGGGGGTCTCTAGCAGCAAGGAACTTTTACATCCTGATTGTGGCCTTTCCTTCACATGCTGCTGTGTTATCCTGAACGTCAAGCCCACAGTTCATTGCCACAGCCCACCAGATCTTGGGACACTCTGTGTGGAGCCCTGGATTGCAGACACTATCAGTGGGATGTCAGGACTGGAATCCAACTTTGATTTCGGGGGTCCTCTGAGATCTCCTACTTCTCCTACACAGGGAGGCACCCATCCTATGACATATCATACAGTACACAAAAAGCAACCTGCTAGACTGTCAGTCCTACCAGAAGAAAAGGCTTCAAAGCCAATCTGTAGGAGTCCACCAGCCCCAGGGTCATGTGGACCCCTAATTAAGGCGCAGCCCAGGGCCAGAGGACCCTGACCACAGGTCAGAAGGCAGCTCTGGCTGACACAGTCCTGGCCCCGTGAGGCACAGAAATGCATGCCGTGGGCAAATATTCCAGAATTCCAGGTATGGGTTTTAGCTGTTAATATTTCCTGAAATCATCATTACAACTTAATTAATATTGCTTCCATCTCAGTTTGCCTGGATTTTTCATCAGGTGAGAAAAGACCGGCCTTAAGTAGGACACTTGGTTCTCTGGTCAGAAGGAGGCGCTGTAGTCAGGAATCCAACCTGCAGAGGCTGCCCAGGGACCCTGGGAGCCTCTGAGTGTGCCCCTTCCTCTGTTCCTGGGGGGTGGGGTGATGGTTACCTGCTCGTATTTCTCCAGCTCCGTGTGGTAGATTTGTCTGATCTGGGAGAGTTTGGCTCTGTAGTCGGAGTGCTCCACGGAGTTGTCGGATCCTGCACCTCCGGAAGCTGCTGCGGCCGCAGCTGCCGCTGCTGAACCCCCGCCCTTCTCGGGGCCCGCCACCCCCTCTGCCAGCAGCATGTTGTCCAGCCGCATCAGCTGGGGGTCTGTGGGCTCCTCCTCCTGGGCTCCCCGGATACTCAAAACTGCAGGAAAGCACAAAGAGGGGACAGTTAACAGTAACGCTAGGGAGAAGCCTGTTGTTAAAACTGCCCTGTTTGCTAAATCAGTCTTCAATGTGGCAGCTGAGGCCAGTTCAGGGCTGGAAAAGAGAAGAACTAAGAGAGAGAGGACACATCAGGAAAGCTGCTTTGTTCCAAAATAAATTGTTGTTAATAATTAATTTTATCAATGATTATAAGGTATAATGCACTGGCAGTAACAGGTTCACCGCTAGTTTCTCTCAGACACGCTTTCAGGTTGGCTGGCCAAAGACACAGAGACGGACGTATCCACTGGCCTGTGTCTGCACACTTATATGAGGTCCCTAGAAATGTCAGATTCATGGAGGCAGAAAGTCGATTCCTGGGGACCAGAGGCTGGGGGTGGGGGAGAGGGGGTTACTGTTTAACAAGTACAGAGATCCATTTTGAGAAGATGAAAGAGTTCTGGAGATCAGGAGATGTCTGCCCAACATGAATGTACTAAATGCCACTGAACCACACTCTTGAAATTTGTTAAAACGGTATGTGTGATTAACTACACAAAAAAGAAATATCAGCACTATAAAAAATTAATTATAGAAGAATATAATTTTCACTTTCATCCCTAAACTGCCAAATTTCTCATTCAAGGAAAAGCACTTCCTTCTTTATTTCTAATTTTAGATTGCTGTGAACTTGTGGTTTTACACTCATTGACTTGGTAATATTTGATCAGTCGAAATTTTCAATTCCAAATTAACCTTAAGCAAGATAAATCCAGCTAATTCGGAGCACGTAATCTTTGCCCTGGACTACCAGAGAGCACAGAGCTATCTAGTAATAGCAAGAACAGGATTTGGCTCTAGAGGAGCGTGGTGTTACTCCAAATACTGAAATTTATCCATTCCAGGTGGCAAGACTCTGTCTTGGTGGAAAGAAGGGGGAGGCCCTGCAGAGAAGGCAGGGCCTGGAAGGATGGAGGAGACTCAGATCAGAGAAAGTGACCTTTTCTAAAAAAATTCGATGGCCGTTGGGTGGGGGGTGGGGCGAGATGGACTGAAAGCGATCAAATGATTTAGTAAATGAGCAGAAGAGGAGGCAAGCTCTTTTTACTACCATCATACAACCTGCCATATGATAAATCACTCATCTACACTGAGTTCAGCTGTCAGCAGCCAAGACTTTGTTGAGAGGAACATGAAAAGAATTTTCAATTAAAAAAAATCAAAATTGGCCCTCCTTGGTGGCGCAGCGGGTTGAAGCACAGCACTAAGAAGCTAAAGCCCCTTCTGCATGAGTTCGATCCCGTTGGCCCCAGAGGTGATCCACAAGGCCCGTAGACCTCTCCTGACCCGCCTGCTGCTCCCCTCAGCAGTGTACTTCGATCTGCCTGTTCTGCTCCCCACTCAGTCTCTGGTGAAACCTCTCACCGCCCCTGTACCTCTAGCCTGTACCCCAGTTCCATTTGCACAAATAAATAAATCTTTATAAAAAAATCAAAATTTATTTGGAGGAGGGTGGGAGAAGACCTCCAAAATGTATCTGGAGGAGGGTCATGTTCTGGGGGTGGAGTTGGCAGGGTCTCTGGCCGGGTGGTTATGTGAGCCCTGGAGTCACCACAGTGGGACTTGAGGGCTGTTGGAGGGCGGGGCACATGGTGCACCCCAGGGGATGGAGCCAGTGCCCACGGTGTAGAAGCCCAGCAAGGCGCCTCATAGGGTGTGTGGCTATCGGGCCCATAGGCGGGGACGGTGCTGATCAGGGCATTCTAATACCAGTACACTTGCCCGCTGTGCTGTGTGCTCCTGGCGCCTCGTGGGCAGGACGACCACTCACCCTGAACGTGGGGCAGAAGGAAATCCCAGTGCTTGGGCTAAAAGGGAACAGGAGCACTGCTCTTAAGGCTTTAAACAGAGTAAGGCAGAAAGTTGCTACAGCTGGCAAAGAACACTGCAGGTCCTTACCCACCATAGAGGCTTCCAGACCAGCCCAGAATGTAAGGCACTCTCTGTATGGACTCAGGTGCTCTCTATATGTCACTTGGTTGTGAAGGACACATTTCAGTGGGGGAAACAATAACACTATGAGTATTTCACCTCCCATGAATTTGAAGAAAACAAAGAAACAGAAAGAAAAACAGTAGAAAAACAACAAAACAAAAAAGGCCCACTCAAGGAAAATTCTATGCTATACTCAAATTATTCTGAAAGCACAAATTTTCAGACTGTGTGCCAGAGCAAATATTTCTGTATGTCTGTGTGTATGCATGTATGTCCGTGCACATATACAGATGTAGGCGCGCACACACACATGTACAGGCACAATATAAACGGGAGGAAACCTTCATCTTCCACGAATTTGCTCAACTGGCTCACACCTGGGGACTCTGGGCTGTATTCGTGAGTGTGGAGAACATGGGGCTGGACTAAAACAGCCCTGCACGCATACATTTCTACATAGGAGGAGAATCCGAATGCGCTAATATGAAAAGGGGGACTGAAATGCACTGAGATGAAAACTGCTCAGTTCGTCGGTTAAAAAAAAAAACTCACCGACATTAAATAAATAAATGAAAAGGGTGATCTGTCTAAGCAGAACTGATGCTACCTATTTATTCTTGGAGCCAGCACTCTGGTGAGGAGGAGACAAAATGATTACTTAAAAGCTCCTTTTTATCTCTGTGGCACCATGCAAGACTCCATTGAACCTTTCGCCAGGACACCAGAGATGTTAACACTCATCCTCCAAGATCCAATTTCAACCAGCGGAGCTGTTACCTAATCCAGCAACCATCACAACTGATCAGGTTCCCAAGTCCCTGACGGGTGCCCCTCCCTCTCCCGCCATGCACCCCCACCCAGCAGCTTTTACTGAAACAGGCTTTAAAGGGCCAAATCCCGGGCTGATGCCAGTGCCTCTATAGGGCTTAGAGAGTGGCCGGTCTGCACTTCCACTACCAAAACGCAGAGTAAGTGCAGTGGCTTCACTGTCCTGTCGGAGGGATGGCCCATCATGATATAGTTAACCCTTTGGGTAATAATTCTTAAGAAAGGAGTTTGGTTCTCACAAATCTACCCCCTTGGGACTCCTTGATGTCCCCCTCCAGTAACAGAGCAGTCGAGACAGGTGAGTGATTTATGTGAAATTTGTCACAGCCCTTTAGAAAGCCTCTGATGTCACATTCCCCTTACTGCTTTCCCTGGCCTGGGGTTAATTCTTTGGTAGAAGTCCCAGGCTAAGGGGACTGTCACAGCGCTGTCGGAGCCATGCTCACAACTGGCCTCCCGCTGTGCTTTATTTATTTTTCTTCACACCAGGAGAAAAACAAACCAAAGCCAAAGGCAGGTTCAAGGTCCTTGGCAGGAGGCTGCAAGCAGTTGTTTTGTCCTTGTCTGGCCAGGGATCCTGAGCAGCTCTGGCCGGTGACCACTAGAGGGCACTCTCTCTTCACAGAGGCTGCTTTTAAGGGGAGGCTGGCAAGCTCCAGCCCTGGGACTGCAGCTGGGGAAAGGCCAGCTCAGATCTCAACTTCCACAGCCCTGCAGGCAGCAGGAGAGGAGGGAACTTCCACAGCCCTGCAGGCAGCAGGACAGGAGGGAACTTCCACAGCCCGGCAGGCAGCAGGAGAGGAGGGAAGACTTATGGAGCAGGGGACATCTTTAGCTATGAACAATGGTCCAGACACTGAAAGCTAGGCTGACAGGGACACATGGGTGATTTGGCAAAGGGCATGAGGAACTGGGTGGGTGTCCTCGAACTCCCTGGATAATCTCTTTGCTTGATTTCAGGGTACAAGGTTGCACCTCCATGCAAGGAGGCCCACTGTCCTCAGTGAGTCTTGACTCATACAGTAAGGAGGTCAGGAGGGAAGCTGGGGATGGAATGCAGAGCCCTCTGGGACTTCCCCCAGTGCTGCCTGCCGTCTCCCAGAAGGGCAGAGCACTGGACACAACTATAGGACAGGACAGAAATTTGTTTCCTTGCTGTTATAGAAACAGAACAAAATGCTTTCTGAAAATCACTGTTACACCTTTTACTTGTTCCTAAGTGCTGGTCTACTCTGCACCACGCCACCTTGTAAAACATGAAGTCACCTTGCAAACTTGCATAGTGGGTAACTGAAGATTTAACAAGGCAAAGTCACTTTCCCAAAATCACAGCAGATGGGACACAGCCAGGGCTAGAATCTAGGCCTGCAGCTCCTGGGCATTTTATTTTCTACTACAATATTAGGGTTCTGACTCCCTTTCCCAAGTGGACACAATATCCACTTGAGTGTTTGTGCTCACTTGTGCACACGTGTATATGCACACCCACAGACACACACGGTCTTCTGATGCTCAAGTCACGACTGATACCACAGCAAGAAGGAAACCACCAGATGTGATGAGGAAAAGGAGCAAGTTCTTTTCACTGACTTCTTCATTGCTTTAAATTCTTCCAAGTCTAGCTCTCTTCAATGACCTCTTTCTGCCAAAGGCACCATCATGGGTGGTTAAAACCCCTGTGCTATGTGATAGCGTGCCTGCTTCCCTCCTGGCCACAGACATGCACTCCCCAAGGTCCTGTCCAGCTGCAAATCTTGGCTCAAATACCTTCTCCTCGCTCCCTTGCCTGGCACAGGATCTCCCTCCTGTGAAAGCCCAGGGCATGCACACCTACACCATGGCCATGTGCATCTTGGAGTGCTGTGGACACACCTGCCACCTTGCCAGGGTTGTGAGCTCCTGAGAGTCAGAGATGCCTGTCCAGAACCTGTGTATCTCCCACTTGATCACACAGAGCCTCTGGCACTAAGCATCTATCTGCATGACTTACTAGACAATAAAGAGTGAAGAAGGGAAAGGTACATCCTAAGAGATCTGCATCCAATCTCCACCCACCTGGACCTTAGCGAGGGTCATTGGTTCTTTTTCAGTGCTCCCTCTTCTTCCTCTCCATTCCCCAATGGGCCTGAGTCAATATGCTGCTGGGTAGAAGGATATCCCTCTGCCACTTCCTCT